ATATATGTTGGATGAGTATCATAAGGCTAGGTTATGGAAAGCCTGAAAATCTAAGTATAAATAGCATTGTTATTTGGAGACAGGGTCGTAATATGTAGCCCAGGCTGGCCTCAGATTCATAGTAATCCTCCTGCTTCAGCTTCCTGAGTGCTGGGATTACAGGCATGCATCACCATTCCCAGGTAAACAGCTTCAAAGTAAGAAAAAATAATAAGGTATGATAGATTATGATCACAAAAGTAAAATTTAAGGCAGACTGCCCCCGCACCCCAGCGCTGGGGTTGAAGCCAGAGCCTCATGGATATTAAGCAAGCACTTAACAGTGAGCTACCCCCAGCCCTGATTTAGCCAAGGCTGGCTTTGAATTTGCAATTTTCCTGCCTCAGTCTCTTGAGTAGCCAGGATTACAGTGGGAATATGGTCGAAAACTAGCTTTTCCAGTATGCAGGATGGATTAGAATGAGAGCAGATGTTGGGTGTAGTGGCCCATGCCTGTAATTTTAGGAAGACTGAGGCAGGAGGTGAGAGTTTAGGGTCAGCCTAGACTACATAGTGAGCTCTAGGCCACCCTGGAATGCCTAATGAGACCCTATCTCAAGAAAGACAAAAAAAAAAAAAAAAAAAAAAAAAGAGTAAGAATGAGAACAGTCAAGGAAATTGGGGTGGGGGGAGAAGCTAGGAGACTTTGGAGGAATACAAACAGGGTATTGACAAGAAGAATAAGAATGCTATGGAGTTTGAGTAACTTTTCCCAAAGGCTCATCTATTAAGAGTCATGGTCCTCAGTCCTTTGCATTATGGAGGGGGTGGGCCTCTAAGGGCTTGCTCTAGAGAGAGGGTTAGGTCACTGGAAGTATGTCTTCCTTCAAAGTAGTTTCAGGACTCTGCTCTCTCTGTCTTTGATGACTCAGCCTTGAGAAAGTAGCTTTGTTCTACCATTCACTCTCTGCCATGATGTGATGCCTGGCCACAGGAAGGAGTTAACTAACCATGGACTGAACCTCCATAACTGTGATCCAGAGTAAACTTCTTTTTTTAAATTTAATTTTTTTTAATCCTTTTTTATGTATTTAGTTACAGGTCTACAGGGTCTCACTACACAGACAGGATTTGTAGTGATCCTCCTATTTTTCAGCCTCCCAAGTGCTGGGATTACAGGTGTGCACTACCATACCTGGTCTCCATTGCAGTCTCAGAGCACCCTGGGGGTGGGGCTGGCACGGCAGGCCAGGAATTGAACTCCTGGCTTCTGTGTCTGCCTAAGCAGGCTCTTTAGTCCATTGAGCTATCTAGCCCGCCCTGGAATAAACTTTCTAAGTTGATTCATCTCAAGTATTTGTTACAGTGACAAAATGTGGATTACCATAATGATAAAGAATGGAGAAGATCTGTACAAAGAATAAAACAACTCAAGACTTACTATACTACTACCAGTTAATAACAAAGAACAGGAGATAGTTGAGAGACAAAGACAAAATTAGTTACTGACAAACATTTCAATGACAGCCAGGTAAAAATGTCCAACAAGGGCATGGGAATACCTACGACACAGCAGGGCTCAATTAGATACATGATGATCATCAGCACAGACAGACTAGCTCAAGTCATGTGACTCCAGAACTGTATACAAAAGGTAACAATGCACTTTTCTTCTTGGGACTGTTCTATAGCACCTTCTATCATCACCCTTACGAGCTGGCATAGGCCTTTCCACCTGTTTGGAACAACTTCTCCAACTTGATATTCTTGCCCCACGTTTACCTTTTTCATAAACTTTCTTTTTGCAGAACCGGGGATTGAACTCAGGCCCTTGTGCTTGCCAGGCAAGTGCTTATTCTACTGAGCCATCTCCCCGGCCCTCTCATAAACTTTCTTTGATTAACTTCATGTAGTATTCATTTCTTAGTATTTATATTATATTATTCATTGTGCAAATACCAATTTTTTTCATGTAGACATACTGATTTAATTAAGTTTTACCTACCTACCTATGTTTGTTTGATTGATTTTTGCGGAACCAGGGATTGAACTCAGGCCCTTGCACTTGCCAGGGAAGCGCTGATTCCACTGAGCCATCTCCCCAGCCCAACCTATGTATTTATACTCTACTACCTAAGATCTCCCCCAGGTTTTCTTTTCTCGGAGATAGGGTCTCAAGCTGTAATTAGCTGTCCTTGAACTCGCTATAAAGCCAAGATTGGCCTTGAACTTGCAGCAACCCTCCTGCCTCTGTCTCCTGTATGATGGGATTATAGGTGTGCACCTAGCACCTCCAGGCTTTAAAGTTCTTTTGTTGTTGTTGTGTGGTAATGGGAATTGAATTCAGGACCTTGTGCTTGCCAGGCAAGCACTTACTCTACTGAACTATCTCCCCAGCCCCAAGAATTTTTTTTTTTTAAATGTATTTAGTACAGGATCTATAAGGTCTCACTATGCAGATCAGACTCATAGTCATCCTTCCTGTTTTTCAGCCTCCCAAGGGCTGGGACTACAGGTGTGCCACCATGCCCAGTCTCATTTGCCAGCTCAGTGTGCCCCAGGGGTGGGGCTGGCATGGCAGACTGGGGATCAAACCTCTAGCCCCTGTGTCTGCCTAAGCAGGTACTTTAATGTGCTGAGCTGTCTGGCCAGCCAAGAATGGCACCGTTCCCACTTAACCTTTTCTGAGGGGTTACAGATTTACAAGCTTCTAGCAAAGTACCTGGTATACACAGTCAATATTCAGTAAGTGTTTGCTGTGTGAATAAGGAATAGGAGCTTTCTAAGTTCAAGTCCTTTTCTTCACATAATGAGCATGGAGAAGAGGTTCTGTCTCTCCTCCATGTCTAGGGTACCATATGGTTAGTAGTAGAGACGCTGCCTTTACTGATTTATTAACTGATGTAATAACCACCAACTAAACACACTAGTGATTAAATACTAAGGTAAGCTTGGGTTAAATCCAAATCTCTTGTGGTATCAAAAGAGAAAAGGTCACTTTGGTTTCTATGTTTGTCTGGCTGCAAATAGCACAAAGAACTGCTGCATGGTGTGAGAGCCATTGCAATGAATGCTCTTTTGGGAACAGTGCATAGAAAGGAGACACTATCTAAAACAACTGGTGAGAGGTTCCAGGTCACCCAAAACTGGCTTAGAAAAGTCCCATTGACTCAAACAAATGTCTTGTCTGAAGTTCTGGAAATATGCCCTCCATGGTGTCTGGGTTCACAAGGGAAGCTGAATTTACGAATTGATAATTTGCCCACTGGAGGAAACTGACACCCAGGAGAAAGGAAGCAGCCAGGGTAGGCTGGCTTTTTGCCTTCTTTTGTTCATCCATGCATTGTGGATAGGGAGAAATGTCAAAGGCATCTTTTGTCTGTATGTCTTCCAAAGTCTTAATAAACAGTAGGGAATACAGTGAAAAACACCAGAACAAAACCTCAACATACCTATTGTCAAAAGCCACAGAACACACATCTTGTTATTAAAAATCAGAGAGTGGAGGGCACAATAGAAATTTGGGAGTTCTTAGTGTTCTTTTTTCCTGATTAAATGCAGATCACATAAGGGCTTTTGATGGGAGCAGGGGAGTATGGCTCCCAATACATCTGGTCCCTGGTATTAATCTTAACAGTCTGGTGACAGCAAAGCACGTGACTTTTGGGGCAGCAAATACCTGCAATGATGACTGAGTCAGTTCGGGCTGGGCCAAATTTCAATGTCATCTCATGCTTGTGTTTATGAACTGCCAGGTGGTCCTCGTTTGTAAATCTCTGAAACGAAACAGAAATGGAAATATGAAAACACACACACACACACACACACACACACACACACAATTTACTTTCTTTTGAAAATGTCCTACCAAATTATGTTGCAGTGAGGTTGGTCCCTCAAAAGGGGAAAGAAAAAAAGAGAAAAAAATTGGAAGCAATGAAAAAGGAGAAGAGACAGAAAAAAAGGTGCTAGAAAACAAGAGAGGAGAGAGAGGAGAGCAGGAGACCACAACTCTGTCATATCAGGTCCAAAGAAAAGAAGTGGACAGATTGCTGGTGAACAGAGATCCAGGGAAGAGGCTCCAAACTAAAAAACAAACAAACAGACAAACAAACAAACAAAAAACCATTACGGCACACTTGCAGTGAACAAGGGGAAACAATTTTTAATACTAATAATAAATAGAGAAGGAGAAGGCTAGGAACTCATGGGTCATCACAAAATGGAAAATTTCAGAACAAAGTTCTCCATGGTGGGGCTGACTGGACTATTTTATGAGGGAGTTAACAGGGAGATAAATTATGCAGGATTAGGAGAACCATTTGGCTTCCTGGCCCCCGCAGTGCGGCAGCAGGCGCCTGCACCGATATTTGGCTCAGGGTTTTAATGAGCCAGGACGGAGCTGTACAGGACTGAGGCCCAATGGCCAGCAATAACGGCACACACCAACCCTCTCGGCCAAATGCTGGTTCCCCTCATCAGGCGGCCTGCCTAGGCTCTGTCAGCCATAAAGAGGCTGGTACGATGCTGCTGGCTGTATAAAGGCAGAATAAAAATGCACAAGAAAAAAATGTAAGGATAAGGAGGAGCCCAGAGGCAAGATAATGGAAGAGAAAAGGAAATGGTATACAGACTGTGTTTGTTTAGAGGTTGGGATGAAAGAACAATGAAGAGGTGAAGTCTACTCCAGTTTATGACTAAGTAGTACAGAGTTACTGAACTAATTTATGCTCCCATCCCTTTAAAAGAAGGTGAAAGGAACAGATGAACAGCAGTAATTCAAAAGAACAGTATCCTCAAAAAGTCCCTTTGAGGCTGCTGGTTATGTTCATTACAACATGCCTGCAACACAGCAACTGCCTGCATGCTGTAGTTTTCCACAGCTCCTTTAACAGAGGTTCTATTTGTCTTTTTGTCTCTAAAACTCATGATGGGAGCTGGGCATTATGGGAGGTGGAGGCAGGAAGATTCTGAGTTCTAGCTCAGCATGGGTAAATGATTTACTAAGACCTTATCTTTCAAAATTTAAAACAAAAGGGGGTTGGGATGGGGATGTAGCCCATCGTGAAGTGATTAGTTAGTCCCCTATTTTTACTTTCTTCACTTGATACGTAATTTCCACAAAGATGTACCTATAGCCCTCTTTCCCACGCTTTTTGGGAAAACAAATACACAGGACTTGGCCCCATCCATTTTAGAAAAACAACATCAAACTGCTTCAGCTCCTTTTGTGCTATTTGCAGTTACACAAACATAGAAACCAATTTTGAGACAGGGTTGCACTAAATCATGAAATTGACCAGATAAGCTGGGCATGGTGGCACCAGACTGTAACCTCAGTACTCTGGAAGCTTAGGTAGGAGGATCTTCGCAAGTCTGAGATAAGCCTGTGCTACAAAGTGAACTCAAGGCCAGCGTGAACTGCAGAGCAAGACCCTATCTCAAAAAGACCAAAAAAAAAAAAAAAAAAATACTGCCCAGGGTAGACTCAAACTCAAAATCCTTTTACTTTATATCCTAGAATGCTGGGATTACAAGTATTAAACAGCATACAGACTATATTTAGTCTTACTTGAAACAGGATAACTTCTTGATGTCTTAGCATACATAAACGGGGCAGAGAAACTACTATGTGCTAATTTGTGCCCCTTCCAAAGATCATGGTCATTTAGAGGTACACTATCCAAAATGGAAGTCACAAGCCACACACAGCTTCCTTCCTTCCTTTCTCCCTCCCTCCCTCCCTCCTTTTCTTCTTTCTTTTGGCACAGGGTCTTACTACACAACTCAGACTTGCAGTGATCCCCCGTCTCAGCCTCCCCAACACTGGGATTACAGGTGGGCACCATCATACCCACTTTTGCTGGCAGGCTTAGCATGGGGCCAACACAACATGTGGTATAGGGGATTGAACCTGGCCTCATTGTTGCCCAGCTGTCCTAGTTTTTTTTTTTTTCTTACTCTGTAGTAGGGTTTTAGATAGTACAAAAAAAAAAAAAAAAAAAAAAAA